TGATACTATTTTGCATTTTGCATAGTACACTCATTTTGGGTTTGTGCACTCTTGTATTCATAATCAGTGTACCACATCACACAGGGCTGACCCAAGCCATGTTTGAGTCCGTCAATTTTTTTTCCAATTCAATTCAAAAGTAATTTATTCCAGATAAAGTAACATAAAACAGTACAGTACAATTCAAATGCATCCAATGAAATGGAATGGAATAGGACAACCACAAACAAGCAAATAAAGCATTAAACTGTGGTGCCCGTTTCAAAAAACAAAAAAACAAACAAAAAAAACAAAAAACAAAACAGAAAATCAAATCCAGAAAAAGGAAAAATAAATAAATACAGTAATCAATCAATATATTAATTATTCAAATAAGTATTTAATCATTAAGCAACTGATGAACTAATGAATCATTCAATAGATAAATATATTACTGTAGTGATTAAATAAATAAAATAAGGATAAATATTAATACATGAAATCAATGTCATATTATATGGTACTGTAAATATATAATAGGCAGTTTTCGCCGCACGACGTTAACCTTAACGTTAAAGGATGTCATAATTTATTGATCTTGTGTTGCGGAGTACGTTAATTTCAGGATTTTACATGCTCAACGTCCATTAGTTACCATTTAACATTCTGCCTCGTAGATGAAAGTTAAGTGACCTTGGGTGGTGTTTAAATTATTTGACATTTTATAATTTAAGTCAATGTTTTATTTCCAATGTTTGAACGTGTTCCTTCGGCAAACTGGATTTCGACCATCTGGCCCCTTCGAAATCAAGGAGAGGAGATCTGTGTTGAAAAGATGCGGTGCTATATTTGTGTGTATGGTATCCAAAACAATTCACATACCTAGCACGACCAACTAACTCGAAATCGATGCTTCTATCGATGCTATGTGGAGGTTTTTGTGTATTTGAGGCCAGATTAGAGCAGAATGTGAATTGAGGAATGAACTGAAACAAGAACATCAAGAAATGAACCACCAGAGCGTGGCTGATTATCTACTGAAGTAGAATGTGATTATGTGGAGTTTAAAACCCTATTCAGACTAGAATTTGCATTGCAAACGGTTGCAAAGTAATCGGTGGTAAACAGTTGTAATCCAAATTGTTCGCAACCATTCGCAAACTTCGACAGCATTCATACATTTTTACTTTGATACTTTACATCACTAGCAACGATATAGGTCGTCCTGTTTTGTTTGACCTCAGTCAATCAGTGCCTGTGAAATCTGTTGTGATCGGATTACGTGGTAATCGGGAGTTTAGTACCCAATCGCAAGGAGTAACAACTGCGAAATCGATTACTTATCGACTACTATTGGTGAGCTTTCAGACACGATTTTACTTTGCAATTGCGTGCGATTGGGTGTCGCAATTGCTACAACCGATCGCAATGGGGTATTATATTACAACTAGCTTGCATTATAAACTCTATGGCCATAATACTACATAATGCTCATAATCTTAATTTTAGTTTACAATTAATTGTAGACCAAGACCTACATTATTTTTAAAGTTAGTTATAAAGTTAAAATATTGACACTGTTCATACAGTATGTTGTTTATGAATCAGTCTGAGAAGATTAGTTGCATCTTCAGTACTGCATTGTTAATATACTTTGATGTAATTAAAGCAACAAGTGAATGAATTGTCTAATCCTAAATAGTTTATACATTTATATAATTTAAATAACGTCATGGTGCAAATTATGAATGAAAACACTGACTGGAAACCCCATCATGTGCAAAGCATACCGGTACCTTGTCACATTTCATAGTCTTTACCTGCCTCTGACATCACAAGGGACCTTGCAAAGTCTAGCAACTAGCTTACATGAGAAGGCTTTTACATGCAGCAATCTTTCTTCTTTTTTTGCAAAATATTCTACAGTATGTGTGAATTGGGTATTACTATAGGCCTATTGTAAACTGACAATCCTAGACTATTTGTGCTTACGATAATGCCTATAAGAACAGCTATAAATTGTTGGAAAATTTCAATTTCATGCTGTACATGTTGAATCAGTCTAGTGGTGTACAGTTTATTTAGTGGTAAAAATATAATGTTATAGCATCATCAATGGCTGATATTGTCATCGTCCCAAGGAAGTTGAGCTGACACCAATGACAGGCTTTTCAATGGAGCTTGTTTCTCTTTTTAAGACATGAAGCAGAGTCTGGGAACTTTCTATAATCTGTAAATAAAAAAAAGAGGAGCTTTAACTAATTTAATTACGCATAGAGGATAATCTATTGATCCAATTAATAAAAAATTCTCTAATCAAATTAGAGCTTGTTTTTGTATCAATGATAGTAAAATAAAGAGAAAAATAGCAGTACTGTAGATAAATAAATTAATGAATGAATGAAAGACTTTTTAGTGACAGTTGTACAAACTATGGATAAAAAAGGTGTTGTACAGTATATGAATAAAATATTACAGATTGGCAGAATAAAGTTAAACAACTCAAGGCAGAATAAACACAAGTAGAAACAAAAATCATAGCAAAAATTGCTATTTTATCAGTAACGTGATACGTAGCTAAAAACATCAGAAATATACAAATCTACGTTCACCAGGCAAAGACAATGACCCAGTTGAAGGAAGCTCTCAACAGCCTTCTTCATCAACTGTATGAAGCAGTACAGTTGGCTGACTCCCTTGAAGCGACAGTACTAATTGTATGTGTCAGATGGAGGAACAGTTTTATTTATGTTATAGAGAAAATACAGTAAAACCTCAAATTGAAGCCCAATGGGCCTAATGTCGAGATGAAGCCCATTTCGAATTGAAGCCCCCTCTTTAGATTGTAAAATTAGCCTCAAAAAGAAGCCCATGGGCTTCTTTTCAAGACAGTAAACTATGGCTTCTTTTCGAAATAGTACAGTACATATGCAGTATAAATTTCAAAAAAGAAAATAAATTAAAAACAAATGAAGCTTGGTTTATACAATAGATTAGGTAATTTGATGCTATCAGTTAAATACACTACATGATACAGATTAATGTTACAGTGGCCTTATTTATTGTTTTATAGTACAAATTCAAAAAATTTACAGCATTCATTTTGAAAAGATGCCCCCTTTACTTTGCAAGCCCAGGGCTTCCATTCGAGGTTTTACAGTAAATTATCAAATGCTACAAAGAAAAGCTACAGACCAAACTACAATACAATTAATTACACCAAGGTATACAATTTCTAATTGTGTATGGCCTGATACCAAAGATCTTATAATACAAAAAAGCGCTTTTCGTGATTCTACACTTAACAAATAGAAGTAAAAAGAAGCATAAAAAGTAATCGTTTTTGAGAGAGGGCGTCCTAGTGGTCACCATGGTTGTTACAGTATTTGCCCGCAGATGCCTATCTTTAGTTAACGATCCTTAATGTCAAAGTTGAAAAGTAATCACTTTTGCGAGAGGGCGACCTACACTGCGTTAACAGAATTTGCATGCAGAAATCAGGCAAACGCTATTTTGCTATTATAAGATCTTTGCCTCATACTTAATAAGCATAGCATCAAACTTTGTTGGCCATAAACTTAATTAACATTGTATAAAGTTTTAAGTTCCGTTATATTATATAATATTATATTGCAATTCATCATTAAATAATGTTCTTTTCATGAACTTTAGAGCATGTGACAAACTGCGGTGCAGAGCAATAATAATGCATTGGTTTGGTGTTCATTGCATATTAGTCAAAATATACTTTGCTGTTAGATTGGAGTTTCAGTCTACATTTTAAACAGTAAAAAAGAGCTTGAAGATTAATTATATTATATTTCCTCCACAACAAAGCAAAAGAGTATAAAAATTAATTACCAAAGATGAGATAACAAACCAAAAAACAAGGTGGGAGAAAAATGTTCCTGTACAAATGTACCTGTACGTAGTTTTATTAATAAGCCCCATAAATATATTATATATTAAAGTTAAAGTAGAATGAAATGAACAAGAACTAATTTTACTACCTGATATACCATATTTATTTGAATAAACACCCTGGGGATGTTTATTGTTGAGAAGGTTTTTGAGGGGAAGTTTATTCAATGGAGGCATTTATTCGAGGGAAGCGTTAAATTTTGTTGACCAGTGTAAAATGGATACATTATACTCAAATACTGTAAACGCTCCTTAATTTCACTGTAACTACATACAACATATAATTACAGTCAAAATGTGTTGCTGTGTGATCATAACAACTTTGATCCAAACCAGGTTAGAAAAAATAATTCTACTGTACTGGAGTGTTGAGAATGATGATGTAGCTTCCATTAGTTTTGTCTAGAGTAAGCTAGGGGGTGTTATGAGGAAAATAACGCCGAGGGGCGTTTATTCGAGGGAGGCATTTAGACAAAATTCAGTGCTTCGTACATTTGTCAAGAAAGGCACCATATAAATGACCAGATTGAGTTTGAGGCACTTATTCGAGGGTGGCGTTTACTAGAATAAACAAGGTAAATTGAAACACCATGTACGGTATGTACCATAATTAATTATCACACATTGACATAGTAGTACAGTATTCTCACACTCCTCTACCACATTCCTAAAGATTAGGATTTGTAGAAGACTGCCAGGTGGCCTGTAATCATTTTCAGGATGGAACCACAATGATCAGAAGATTCACTACAATCTGAGAGTTCCCTTTAAAATTGACATGAAATAGATTTCAGAATTCATTGTGTGCAATCATGGAGTGTGCAGTTTAATTTTATGTGGCAGAAATTACGTTAAACATTAGGTATTAAGTTTCTTACTTATGCTCCCATAAACCTCCTATTTGCCTGTAAACAAACTGTCTTTTTATAATTTCCCCTTGTGGAATGAATAAAGATTATTGATTGAGTATAGCTTAAATTTTAAATTGAGTCCTCTCATTATTCCTGTTGGTTATGGGCCTGTGGGTTGTTGATTTTTAAAAAATCAGCTCCTATAGTAAAACCAACTTCCAGATTGAACTATACGATATTTTCACAATCAATGTTATTAATATCGTCCTACTAAAGCACCACATGGAACCAAACAGATACAAAAATGATTAAAATATTATCACACGAGTGTAGAAAATGGTTTTAATTAAGAAAAACAAACTTTTATAGCGATAGTTTTTTAATTATGGTAAAAAAAAAAATAATTTTGTTACAGGTTTCACTGCCAAGCAAAAATTCTAAAGTTCTTCTAGTGAAATGCAATGCACCCGGAGCATAAGCCTTCATAAAAAAGCATGTCAGCAAAAAATCAACACAAACTGTAAAATTGACACTGCTATATTGGTAGGTCTATTTTTTAAACCAGCAAAAAGGTCCTGAAATCAACCTTCCATGACTGACTTTGATGTATCCATTAACATTTTTTGAGGTAATTTAGGTTTATGGAATCAGTCATTCTCATTTTTTTGTTTGCACACAAAGAGAGATCAGTGTCAGCCATAAGCGGAATTTGACTAGTGTCTTGCACTCCATACAGTTTAACTTTGTCCCTGGTACATGTACTGAACTGATATCAACCTGGGCAGAGCACTGATGTGAAGTAAATTTTATCTTGTTTTTTTTTTATAAACTTGATCATTAATAATTGTGTACCATTAACTTTTGTCAAAAAGCGGGGCATCCCGCCAAAAGTGGGACAGCTACTGTAGAATCTATAATGATATTATATAAATATAATATATTTATTATATACTGTAAACAATAATATAATATATTAATCTATAAAAACCCCAGCACCAGTAAAGCAGCAGTAGCAAAGCATGAACAACAAAGAAAAAGTGGAATAGGTAAGCATTGTTTGGATACAAGATTGCCAGCAGAGATTTTTACTGATGATGGAAAGTTTCTTATGCCACTACAGTACTCTAATGCTACAATAAAAATCTAATTATCAAATTTATGTTAGGCTTCCACTTTCAAATATAAAAGCTACAATAAAAATCTAATTATCAAATTTATGTTAGGCTTCTACTTTCAAATATAAAGAGATAAAACCCAGGGAAATAGATAGAATATGTACCTATAACTAAAATTTATAAGCACCTAGAGACTGTTAGTGAATTTCATATGTCCCTTATCTTTCAAAACCTCAGCTTCATTCTTTAAGACATTTAACAATGTATTGGAGCTTTCAATAATCTGTTGATAGGAAATACAACACTGTACAGTCAAAGTTGAATCACTAAAGTTGAGTATAACATAATATAATAATGTTTAAACATACTACAATTCAAATTTACAGATTTTTTTTATTTAATGAAATTAATTTATTTATTATTCAGATAGAAACAGAGTTACTTATTATTATTAATGCACTTTTGTCTAGCTCTTGGCTATTAAATATGTCTAATGAACATTAAAAAATGTCTAGAAATGAGAAGTGCATAAAGTTGCCTAAATAGGGGTTCATACTTTTAAAACGAAAGCCCCAGTGGCCAAGTTGATTGAGGTATCTGCATTTTAAAACAGTAGTTCAAATAGGCCTCTCTATTGCCAAATGATATTTATAGGTCAAACGTTAAAGGTTATTCAAAGCAATGTCTAAATTACACTACTTTGTGTTACATTTCCATGAGATTAAGGAAGCCTAGCCTACTGTGTATACCAGAGTCAACACAGGCTGAAGCAAGGGACAGTCATACCTTCCATGGAAGATTGGGATATCTTCTATTTTCAGTCTAGTCAGCATGGGCCTAATTATGACATTTTAATAACTAGTCATCAAATACAATACAGTACTATCAAAAATCATACTTCACCTTTCCATTATTTTACGGTATCCTAAAACAAACTAAAAACAAGCTTTCGTATTCTTAACAAGACAGAATGGATTGTTCAGTTATGTTTATCCTTGCTGATAGTTCATGTGACCAGTAACAGAAAAAACATTGCAAAACTCAGTATATCATTGTGTAAATTTATAAACATTTAGCAACTAATAAAAAGAAAAGTCTATCAGTCATAATTACCTTCATGTATGCACTTTCTGTCTCTGCTATTGTTTTATCATACTCATTCCTTGTTGCCATTTTTTTTGCTAAGCTTTCATTGACTTTCGCTAACTTTTCTGTTAATATACGAATATCATTTTGTATTTTTTGTTTCTCATCTTCTTCAGATAAAATCTGTTTATGTAGTTCATCTCTTTTCACACATAATTCTTCAATACCTAAACAATATAAATGAAAGCCATAAAAAGAAAAATAATAATAATAATAATAACAATAACAATAACAACAATAATAATAATAACAATAATAATAATAATAATAATAATAATAATAATAATAATAATAATTTATGTTAGAGCTTGCGGTACACCATGTAGGGAGTTCTGAAAGGAACTGTTGTAGTTGAGAAAGTCTCAGAGACTTTCTCAACTACAACAGTTCTTTTTCAGTTCTACCTACATGGTGCACCGCAAGCTTCAACATACATGTAATATTACTTCACCATGCAAACCTTTAAATAATAATAATAATATTCTAATCATAGTGGGTTATCTTTTTTTTTTTGCTCATTATTATGTAAAATTAATTTTCAAGTTTCGTTTAAGTAAACTTGCACAATTTAAATTGGGCCCAATCGTCCTGTGTTTGATCGTCTTGTGGGCCAGATTGTCGGTAGGTAAAATCATTTTTACTTATCCATGCCGCCCATGCATGGCTGTCGTTTGTATTTGTTCGATGTTTGATTTATCAGAAAATAAACAAAAATAAATCAATATATCATATGATCATTTTAATTTACGATTCTTAAAAAAATATGTACAGTACATTAAATAAATTTGGAACACAATCAATAAGAAATTCAAATGAAAGTGGAACAGAATGTTCACATTAGGTAGTTGGACCCGATCGCCTTGACGTTGGCCCGATCGTCCACAATAGTTAAGCCCGATCTTCTCGTGGGTCCGAATGACTATCACACGCCTGGCTGGCCCTAGGTTAGGCTAGGCCATAAATAGATAGGCCTAGGGCTAGAGGGCCTAGGCATAGGCCTAGTTAGTTAGCTAGCTAGGCTAGGTCCTAGTCCTAGCCCTACGATTATGTTATGCTTATTATTATGATTTATAGACTAGGATGACCAGGCCTAACCTAAAATTTAAATATTAAAAAACTCACACTTAACAAGTTCATTGTTGTAACTCTGCAGTGCAGCACCCTGTTGAGACATTATAATACTCTCTTCCTAGTCTTAATGACAATTATGTTCCAGCTTTGTTTTTCTGATCATTTCCCGGGCAACTCTATGGGAAGCAAACGCCGCCAAAATTACATGAACTTTCACCGTTGAGGAAGAAAACACCCGTACCGTCCCGGGCCATTAGGACAGTCAATCTGTGGATTGACCCACAACCAATTGCAACAGAAATAAATTTTGCGGAATCTGTTCCAAACATACATAAACTAATATACTAAAAGTCCGAAAATCCAATGAGGTGAATAGGCCTATTGTTAATTAAAAATGGGGGGGGGGAATGAACAACAAGATATTTGATTGGTGAACAGCCGTTTAAACGAAGTCACTAAAAAGAGGTCAAAATGCAGCCTCTACGCGCGGTGGGCGGTCAACATAGCACCAATAGAAAAGTGAAAAATGACGGTGACCTTTTTCAAGCAATACAATTGAAACAAATACTAAAGCAACCAGAGAAGAATTGCCTTCCAAATGCAGAAGGGAATACAAAAATCCGACAAGTATTTGCCAGATACGACTGTGGAAAGACAAAAAATGACCTAAAAACAGCTAATGTGAGCTTGAAACACTTTTGCTAGGCTATTCTCGCTCTTGAGCGATAATGTTGCAAGAAGAACCATTTCGTATTTTTTGGAGCTTTTTTGATTTGTCAATATGTATGGCTGATAATTTTACGTTATTTTGTCAGGTCGAGGTTATTTCACTTTATTTGACAATAGACTGATATTATTTCCACTCACAATAGTGTAGTCGCAATATTACTAATACAAAAGTGAAAGTTAAAAAGGGGAGAACCAAAAATCTCTTGATAGATTTTAAAAGTCGTGTGCTTGCAAAAAGACTAAATTAATCAGTGTTTTAAGTTTGAATATCGTGTTGTTAATAATAATAATAATAATAATAATAATAATAATAATAATAATAATAATAGGCCTTATAATAATATAATATTCCTATTAATAATAATAATAATAATAATAATAATAATAGGCCTTATAATAATATAATGTGCCTAATAATAATAATAATAATAATAATAATAATAGGCCTTATAATAATATAATGTGCCTAATAATAATAATAATAATAATAATAATAATAATAATAATAATAATAATAATAATAATAATAATAATAATAATAAAGATTTGTAAAGCGCAGACATCTCCACCTAAATAGGTGCTGGGCAGTGTCAAACAAGCAGTAGAGAAAAAAATAAGATGCATATCACAAGAAGAAAATGTAACAAGACTCATCATATATATATATATATCACTTTATCTTCTCATTTTTTAACCACAGTTATACCAATGTCTTTCGATATTTCCTTTTCTTTTCTTTCTCTTTCTTACACTTTCCTTTTTGTCATATGTTTCCTTATCTTTTTCCTATTCTTTCTTATGTTTCCTTTTCTTCTTTTTTTTCCCTTTCTTATGTTTCCTTTTGTTTCTATGTTTCATTTTCTGTTTTAGTCTCTCCTTTTCTTTCTTATGCTTCCTTTCCATTCCATTTCTTTCTTATGTCTTTTTTCTTATTCTTTTCCTTTTCTGTCTTACGATTTTCATTTCTTTTCCTTTTATCTTTTTCTTTCCCCCTTTCTTTCTTATTTTGTAGTGAAAATCAGGGCCCCCGTGACTTTTTTCAGGGACCAACGTTTCTCTATTGATTTAGCATCACTAGATTAAAAAAAATGAACGGGCGGGCGGGGGAACCTCAAAAGGGCGGAACGTCCTTTAAAGTCGGATAAGCTTCTCTTAATGATCATATACTTTTTTCGACAGTGTGCAATCCAATTGTTCTTTTAGATTAGAATGTTTATTCTTTTTTTTGTTTTTGTATTTTTTTTTTATTTGAAGAAATGTAAACACCAATTATAGTGCAAATATTTATAAGATTGTGTCCCCTCACTCACAGTTAAGAATCTTCCTATCTATTTTCCATTTTTTCTCTCGGTTTATAAAATACCCATTTGGTGACCATCATTAGATTTTTGCTAATTAAAGCTTGATTTCCGCCCCTTTGCATATTTCCCTGCGATATACAACATTTTTAACACTTTAAATTTATTATTTGTCGTATTAAACAACATGGTAGGCCCAAAAAATAAAAATAAAGCAACGTTTTTTTCTTCTGAAATTTCCATTTTTCGTGGCGGTGAGTGTGCTAATTGGCCAAATATAAATTTGTTTTTAATATTCGAATCATCATTTTTAGAGGGCGGCATGTCCGCTAAACAAGGTACAAAAAAATTTGCCATCTACGACCATAGGCCTACTATATCTGAAGATCAAGAATATAGAATTTGTAAAAAGTTTAAATGATTTTTTGTTCTAGAGTGGATTTTTGATATGCCATTAATAATAGAATCGACCTTAAAATCGTTTTTTGGCTATTCTTTATGAAGTTATAGGCGATTATATACGATTTTACCATGACGTCACTGGCGAAAAAGTAACAAAAGATCGTAAATAGCGCCGCGTAGGGTATCCTACAGCAGGGTCCTACTAAATACCACACGGAACACACGGGACCACTCGCGACCACTCGGGAACACACGGGTGCAAAAATGATAAAAATATTACCACACGAGAGTAGAAAAATACTTAATAATCAATAGAAACCAACTTTTAGAACGGTAATTATCCAAATTCTGTTAAAAATCGATGTATCTTGATTTTTTTTTTTTCATAGAAAAAATCTCAAAATACCATCTTTAAAATTCATAACAAGTTAACTAGATTTGTCTATGTGCTAAAACAACTATAGAATCAATACAAATTTTTAAAAAATTAAATTAAAATAATAAGAGTCAAAAACACTTAAGTATACAAATACAAAGCAGATACAGTAATAAATACAGTTATTGTATAATACTTAGGCCATACAATAGGCATACACGCAGGATGAAATATAACGTACGTAGTGAATGTGGTAGAGTTCAAGGTTGAACGCGTTTCTGGAGACGTGAATGTGTTACAGAACCTCAATGTCAACGCATTACCTTCCGAAGCACGGCGGAAAAGCCTGTAAAAAAAATCATTTTTACCATATTTTGGACAATTACCATTATAAAAGTTGGTTTTTATTGATTATATAGCAGTTCTATACTCTCGTGTGGTAATATTTTTATTATTTTTGCACCCGTGTGTTCCCGAGTGGTCGCAAGTGGTCCCGTGTGTTCCGTGTGGTATTTAGTAGGACCGCTACAGCATATCAAGCAAAGATCGCCAGTGAGGTCATGGTAAAATCGTATATAATCGTCTATAACTTCATTTAAAAAAAGCCAAAAAACAATTTTAAGGTTGATTCTATTATTAATGGCATATCAAAAATCCTCTCTAGAACAAAAAATCATTTTGCTAGTTCTCTTTTAAAATTTTGACAGCTTAGTAAGACATGCTTCAAATTGTACTTTCGGCGCTCGAGATTTTATTTTTGCCCGACGACCTTGCTGAAAATTCCCCGACAGGGAGATCAAAGTGCGTGGGGGTGGGGGGAAATAATTCTATTCATAAATTATTCTATTCATAATGTTTTTTTACGATTCGTTGAAATTACAGTACAGTACAGTTTTTATTAGCGTCAAGAATTGTCAGTTGACGCTTGTTGACGGTTGTTGACGCTAACTACTTCATAACGTACACTGTGTACAGTTAATTAAAACGTTAAAAGTCCTGTTGTTGATCGATACTACGTGGCCTAATTATGAGAGATGACTGCTTTGTAGTTTCTCGTTCTTAGAAGTAGCTAGAAACAATGTATTTAATAGCTTGAATAGCCGTCGTTGGCGTGGCTGGTATGGATATGCAGTGTATTTTTCGATTATGGTGGATAATTTTGTGCTTATTTTCTTGTTTTTCTACCACGATTGAGCATGTCGAACAACTTAGGCCTAGGCCTATGACTTCCTCCAATGACGATGGCCGGACCGAATCGGGTACGCCTAGGCCTAGGCCCGCTACTACCGGTACTGCTTCTAGGCCTACTGGTGGTAGTCGTTTGAACAAAGCTTCACTTAAGTAAGTAAAATTGTTCTTTAATGTCTTATAATTATTAAATTTATTTTTTTCTTTAATTAGAAAGAATACAGTTTAAACACATAGGCCTCCCTATCATCACACACACCCACACACCCACGAATCACCACACCCACCACACACACACGTACACACCCAGTCGCACACAGGCGTGCTACCTTGGCCTACCTTTCTACTGTACCTATGCCTATAGCCTACTGTAGCCTAGGGTCTAAATAAAGACAAAAAACAATGGAAAAACTACTAAACTAGGTATATGGTACCATATCTCTTCCATTTGCAAATATCATTGCGTCACCTTCACCCAGTGAAGTGCCGGGTTGTTTGTGATGTCGTTTTTGAAGTCTGGCATTGCAGATTGCCCAAGGTCACATGGTTTGTGACGAGCGAATGATGTACATGGGTATTAGAACAGGTAAAATATCCAGGAAAAATAGTACAGTATTTTCTATAATCAAATCAATCAATCAAATTCATTCCACGCATATCATTCATAATTCAATATATACTGTAATAAAATAGGAGTACCAGAAACCAGGAGGCAAAGTTTGTAAATTATTGGTACAAATAATAATATATTATAAATAATGTAAACAATAAAAGTAAAATAACAACAAATAACATCAATATTAACATTACTGTGTAATTCGAACAAAACTGGATCATTGATATTAAAGTCAGTGTATTGTACTGTATAAGTTTGTAGATATTTCTTTCAGCTCGATTTTGAATGTGCACATTTTCAATGATATTTGTAATAGAATCAGGTAGTAATAGCCAGTATTTAGGTCCATAAAATAAAACTGTGTTTTGTTGTTTTACCGGTAACTGTTCTGTCAGCCTTACTGTCATCGATCAATAGACATTCTGTAGGATTCCACTCAGTAAAGCTCGAGAGCCATGCCATTATGTATAGCGATGGTTCCCGACCTGGAATCCGCGAAAAATAATTGGGGATCCGTGAAGTCAAAAGGGTCCACAGGGTCTGCGATAAATTTTGGGGGTCCACTAGATTTTTAGACCAATTTTTCATGATTTAAAATTATTTTCCTTGTCTTACAACAGTGTGATAACATAATTGCTGCTAATTATTACTGTAGGTGCCTTTATCAATTTTGAAGTAGACTTAAAGTTTGTTCAGTGTAAATTTTATATCTGAATATTTTTATTTTGTTTTTATGCATGCTTTGTGTAAAGATGTTTTGAGTATAGATGTTTAGTGTTTAGAGAGCCACTTGATAGTGGCAATCCTCAGGTAAAGAACATCTTTGTTTTTATGATTTGTCTTTATATTGCTTTTTACCTTGTTATCGAATAAATTAAAAGAATCAGGGGCCCTAAATGTTTTACAAAATTAAAAATAAATGGGGTAGGCTTATAAAAGAAAGTTATACATTCAAATATTTTAGTCTGACAGTGCCATTTCCAACCATCTAGGAAGTGCCTTTAAGAGCCTCAGGTGGGATTGAGGTGATATCGACCACCTACTGTAAAATTGACTTTCTGAGCCCCCCCAACCAAGGGCTTAGCCAGCGAGACGTCCAGCCAGTCTTTTGGACCTTGCCAACAATTATTTATGAAGGTTTACCGTGATGGCTTGGAAGGCTTGGCCTACTCAGCTCGCCTACCTTCTTCCAATCTATCGAATGTTGCATTATACTATAAAGCAAATCATGTTTACTGTACGTTTGATAAAACAACCTTTATTGATTGAATTTACGCTGTTTTCATACCAACATTCGGTGGGGATTCTTAAAAGGATAAGACTAAACCATTGTCTACCCGGTGAAAATTTCACTTTCAACACGCATACAGAATGTCGTGTTAAAAACATTTATACCCCACTGGAAAATGGACAGTTCTAAGTTACCCACAACACATGCATGTGGCTCTGCAAATACAGTACTTAAGATTCAGTTCCCCGAGATATCGTTCTTGTTCATAACTACCTGGTTATCAGTAATTCATAAAATACCGTAAAGCAGATTTGTTGTCACATCACAGGTTAAATTTTAATAGTCAACAATATATGGAGGTAGACACCCCCTCAGAGCTTTCCCCTTGTCTGTCGCTACGCGACAAGTTCTTTGTCTTCCATTTTGGATGGCATATTTTTTTTTCGGGCTAAACCCCTGCCCCCACCCTTTATTTTGAATTCCAGTATCTTTGTATCCCCCACTGTTTAAATATTTGTTAGTTTCAGACTGTATATATGCTGTAATTACCTTTCCTAGAGTACTATAAAGTACCAATCAAAACAGTGTAAAGTAAAACTTTTATAATGAATTTAATATTCTTTGCCGACTTCAATATGATTCTGATAAATGATATCAACACAATAGTTTTTGGAAGGAAATGAGAAATACAACAATTGTGTGGTTTTGCAAAGTTAATGAAAACCGATTATAACAATGGTTACGTCATCATTTCTTTTAGTCGTCCCATACGTCATCATTTCTTTAGTCATCCCATACAGTAGATTATGTGTTGCAATGTACAGTAGGCAATGACTTTTAAATGAATTAACAATCATATACTGTACAGCTCTGATGTATTGTTAAAAATGTTTTAGGTACAAATGACGATACTGAAGATGACGTATTCGTTATCGTTTTCGTAAGGTTGTGAAATTTCCCTATTCATTGATTGACCAGAAATTGGACAGTTAGTGCAGCCTTCGAATGAAACCAAACATACTGGCACTAATTCATAAAATTGGTATGAATGCTAATTAACTTTTCTTATTACTTTTATTTTTCTAGAGCTCAGGTATTAGAGATGTTTAATCATGCCTTTAACTCTTACATGGTGAGTACATTATGAACAACTTTATACAGTGACAGCTAATTTCCCTCACACACCCAGTTAACAAAGCATTTCATTTGTACAGTATTCTACAGTACCTTTTACGACGGAAATATCGGGGATAAAAGTTTGGCTCAAACACACGAGGCTATAGGCCTAGAAACAGCCTCACCTAGGTTAAAGGTGTTGCCAGAGACTATTGCTTTCATGTAGCCACATCCTGGATGACGCCAATCATTGGATTTGCTGAATATTCTGGTTCCAAAATGAATACCTTGACTGAAATAATATCTTCTGTCTTGAGGTGATCATTTTAAGTAATCTTTAAAGTATGTTTGGAAACAGATGAAGACATGATTTCTAGGTCTTTGAACTGGTTGTTATCTTTATGCATTTTTTAAAAAGCTAATTTTACACATGAAAAATTATATAATGTATACATCAGGTGTGGATCCAGGCCTTCACACTGTTTGCTGTGGGGAAGTGAGTGTGAGAGATAATATTTTAAATCTATACTGGCCTAAAGTAACTACAGCGCCGGATGATTATGTGTGCTTCAACTCACACCTACAGTATCTAGTTCTTATACTTCTTTTCACTGTAAATACTGTAGTGTAAAGTTTGAAAAGCTTCAGATCATCTGAGCATTAGGAGCTTTTCCCCATGGTGTAACCATCTATCTATTTTTGTCTGGGGATTTAAAAAAAATATTTTAATGCAATTAGAACCTTTGTTAATATTTAATTTGCAGGAAGAGGCGAATCATTTATTTAAAGGTTAAATTGAAACACTCTTTATGATGAATATTCTGAAAAATGTAGTGTGGAAATATTAATGTCTTGTCAGTTTTTGTCCTAAAAAAGTTCATTGATTTTGGCTTTTAAAAGACTACAGCACCAGACCACTACCCAGGCTTTGCTTCTGGACCCCAGTGGGGTCCCATAGGGGCCCCTACCCCAGCCAAAGCATGAGCCCTAGGCTTTATTTTTTCCCAATCATCCCCTAATGTTTTCAAGCACTGGTAAAGGCAGTTGCTTCAGGAACACTAAAATCAGTTACATTACTTGAGTTTTCGAAGTATGAGACTGAGGGCCCGTTCGAGCGAAAAAATATCCGTGCGATTTTCCAGTTAATTCACCGGTACACACTTTCTAAAACCGCTCGGACACACGCCTAATTACCTTACCATCTGGATTATCCGCGACAATTTTGACCACCAAATTGCTGGGTAGAATTCTGTGTATGAGATGGCCTTGGAGCTGGAGACGATGATAAATCAACCTTAATTGCTTTGCCAAATGGTTCGTCCACAGCAAGTACCCGTTGTCGTCGCGCTCTTCTTCGCCTCCTCATGTTCACGGCGAAATCAAAGTTGGATTGGACAGTAAATCCATCCACATAACATCGCATCATTGTAGCCATAATGGTGGCTAGTAGCATAGTTACACGTTCAATTTGTAAAATTACCATTACAGTACAGTATTCAGAGAATTAAACTTCAATACAAATAGTTCCCGCGTATCGTTTAAACAAGCAGAAGTAAACAAAGAATGATGGGATTGGTGTTTCTGAATGACCTTACAAAATTACTTCCGGAATAGTTTCGTTACACGGTATTCGACATGAGCTAAAATTTGCTCGAACGGTGGGCCACCCGCTGTGTGCTCGGCGCGATTAACCGGTGAATTCACCAGAATACGGTTTGCGTTTTTCGCTCGAACGGGCCCTCAGAGGTAAAAACGATTGCAGTATCCACAATTATTAAAATTATTAGAAAACACAGAAACATCATCAACAACAACAACCTCACCAGCAACATCATCCTAGGCGTACATCAATCTCAGGCAGCTGCTCATGTTGCCATTTCCACTTGCAAAGGGCAGAGTTTTCTGCGTTTTGTATATTTTTTTTAAAAGTTGTCCAATGCTGACTCTGTCGCACACATCAAACCCAGCGTGTTTGGCAAGTCATAATGTCTGTTGTTTATTGAACTCAGGATTCAAGAATTAGTTAGAACTCAACTCTGTATAATCTGGTAACAATATAGTAGCTTAAACATACTGTACTGTTACAACAATATTGATAGTTGTTTTTTTTTTTAGCAGTCATTGATTGATTTTATTGTTTTTGCAGCGGTTTGCATATCCAGCTGACGAACTAATGCCTTTGAGTTGCAGAGGGCGTGTACGTGGTGAGAAACCAAGTAGAGGGGATATTGATGATTGTCTGGGAAAGTAGGTTGAAATTTCTCTTTTTGTCCATTGAGTGATAAAAAATTTTTTGCTAAACCTGAATATGCTACAGTACTTTCTGGTTTTGCTGGAGCGGATGCAGGATTTGGCTGAGGTGGGAAAATTTTGAGAATATGGACCTCTAAGTGCCTGGAAATTGCACTCTGATACCTTAAAAATCTTACCAGTAAATCATATAAACAATATACACTGTACAGTAATAGAACAGTTATTTTTCTTATACAATTTAGGGGGATGCGATCGCACCGCCTGCCCCTCCCCCTGCATCTGCCCCAGTTTTGTCATGTCCACAAAAATGTTAAACATAGTTCAGCCTTGGAACATATTGTTAGTGGTATCATTTTGTCAGAGTAAATGACCTTCATTCTGATTATTATTAATTGTTATTATCATTAATTATTTTTAATATTTATTATTGTTGTTATTATTATTAATATTATTATTATTAATTGTTATTATTATTGTGATTAAGTAAAAATAATTAAAAATGGTCACACTGCCCTAATAGGTCATAGGATTATAATAAGAGAATACGTAATTTTATATATTCTTCTTTGTTTTGTAGGTTTTCTTTGACATTAATAGACACATTGGATACGCTAGCACTGCTTGGATACCACAAACAATTTGAAGAAGCTGTGCAATCAGTCATTAATGATGTCACCTTTGACACTGACATTGTAGTCTCTGTCTTTGAAACAAACATAAGAGTATTAGGGTAAGTTTTGTTTTGAAGTCCTACTTTTAAAATCCAAATTCACATACACTGATTTATGATCACATATACTGACTGATGATCCAACCAGTAAAATTTTTATAATATAATATTCACCCTCCATTGAAGACCTAGGTTCATATCTGTATACTTAGGACCATATTCTGTAATATATATTTCTTGGTACTGAATCAATAACTTAAGCAGCATTTTATGTGGTGTATCACCAGACTTAGACATAATCAGGAAATATGGTACCCGCAGACTTATTTGACAGCCTTTTGTGAACCAAATTGGTATGTTTTATTTTTAAGGTGTATATCAGACAATTATATATTGTATGGTTCCATTTAAATATAATTTGTTAGCAGGGGAGCATGAAAGTGAAGTGGGGAGGGTAATCAGTGATTAAGTAAGATGCTACTAGTTTGTAAAATATTGTGATTTCAGGTGATTTTGAACTACTAGGAGCAATTGGGGTGCAAGTATTTTTGTTTGGGTGGAGGGTGTGGTCATTGTAAATGAAAAACATTTGTGAGCCAATAATTGGAGAATTTGTAGGCCCGATGTTTACAAAAAAGATAAAAAATAGGCCTACATTTGAAACTGGATGTCCTTTGCTAATTGTCCTTTATTAATTGTCATTAAAGTATAACTTCCCACTTGAGCTATTAAATTAACAATTGATTTAAAACTATAAAGTATTTTCTTTTTCACAGGGGTCTGTTGGGTGCGCATTGTGTAGCATTGGATATAAAAAATAAAGGACAGTACATGCGGTGGTACAAAGATGAGTTGCTACTCATGGCCAAGGACTTGGGCTTCCGCCTTCTGCCAGCGTTTAATACCTCAACTGGAATGCCATATCCAAGGGTAAAAAGTTTCAAATTCTTAATTAAAAATGATAGTGACATATAATATTATCTTTTCAATAACCTGCAATTTTTTCCTCTGAATGTTGTCCAGAGTAAAGACACAAAAATCAAAGTTGTGATCCAACTGGCTCTGCCCCTGACCTTATTTGGTCCATTTTAAATATCAACTTTTGGATGGGCATGACAAAAGACAGCGAAGTGGGTGAGGAAACAGACTCGGAAATTTAGAGAAATACAATGACTGAATTTTCTTGGATTAAAATTAGAAGTAACCTAGCCTGGCATTGTTCACAAGAATCAGGCGTTTTAAGTGTATAATAGCTAAATGTCAGTGGTGTTAAGTATTGTCATAGGGAGGGAGACTGAGTTGGAGGGGGAGGGGGTGGTGCTGATATGAACATGATTGTCAATCGTGCAATGCTGGGGCCAGGGGGCACAACCTTTAGCACTACCTTGAATTTAATTGTTCAAAACAATTAATTAGGAATTTTCTCCAGCAGTGTGAATTCGAAATAGAGGGGTCCCAGGTAGGGACTTTTACAGATGGTGAACCATAGTTAGGGCTGAGGTAAGAAAATTTAAGATTATGGCACCTCTAGATACCTGGCCGGATGTCATTCTCAGTCTTAAATTTGAATATGATTTTCTCCATTTTTTTATAGTTTTGGAAAATTTATGGGTTGGGGAGTGTCATGCAACAAAATATTATTTCATTTTTTTTCTTAAACACCAAAATTGTAATCAATTACAAAATACGGAAAAAATCTGTGATTTATGTTTTGCCACATTTTAAAGAAAATGGTTGATAGATATGTACAGTAAACATAACTCAATACCGTAATTTGTATTTTCAGTATCTTGTACCATGTATTTTTTTTTTTTTTTGTAGCTTGTTTTTAATACCATTTCATTTTAATTAATATTATGTTGCTTCTGTTAATTTAATTAATCAAGATTTGTTGAATGTACTTAATTCTTAATTTGTAGGTAAATTTAAGACACGGCATTGATCCTGTCAAGTCGAGAACAGGAAAAGAAAAAGCTACTTGCACAGCTTGTGCTGGCACCCTTTTGCTGGAATTTGCCACTCTTAGTAGGCTAACAGGAGACCCTATATTTGAGGTTAGTTTGATCTGAAAATGTGACCCAAGCTCACAAAAGGGCTGTAAACTCGCACCGCGCTGTATTGAGAAACCAACCTCCATAGCCAGAATAGGGCGTAGAACGTAATAAATAAAGTATTCCTATTAATCTTACTATTTATGAAGTTTGAGTTTAAAATTGTAAGAGGTAAAGTTTAGCCATTTTCGGATGGGAGTTAGTGAAAAATGAATAGAAAGCTGCCGAAAATAAAACCATTTTTCTCAAAACTTGATTTAGGAAAGTTGATAAGATGACAATTAATCAAATGGTCATAACTTTGCTTCTAGACACCTGATCGAGATCATTTATACTGTCATTTTAAATTTGCCATTATAACAAAAACTCATTTTGGCCTGAGCAAGAATTTACAGCCCTTTTGTGAGCTTCTCACATTTTACCAAAGAAAATTGCATCTACAATTACAAAATACAATAATTTAGTTCACATTAGGTACTGTTATGTGAATTATTCAGTATATATTGAAATAGTTTATTATTGATCCGATCAAAAATATAGTGGTCACAATTGGTACACTGAGCTACTTGGCTATTCCCTATACATTACTTACCTAAGTATTTGGCTATTTGCCATACAAATGCCGTATAAATCATCAAAGGTACATATACACAGTGCTTTTCAACGAATAAAGTCCTATAAAAATTCAATGTGTAATAAAATGCCTTTCGACAGGATTCGAAACTGCGACCTCTCGCTGACAAGGCAAGCGTCATAACCACTAGACCACGAAGCCTTCATGGTTGAACAGGTCCAAATAACCGTCGGGAACATTGTATTACACAATGGTACGCCTTAAGGGGGCGTTTGGTCAGATGAATCTGGAGATACGGCTAGAAATAAATATTGTCGTATATTGTATATGATATTGAAGGAAGTTAGCCGTTAACACTGTGGAATAATATAATATAAAT